CTTTCCCTTCAATGGATGTCCTCCCTCATAAAGTGGACCCTAAGCCAGGAGCCCATTAGAGCGTCAGACCATCCTGGACAAAATTAGAAGGGCTCCCAGAAGGAGGGGTGTAGTCCCTTAGTTTTCATTCCTACAACAAATAATCAGTTGTACATCAACTGTGTACCAAGCTCTGTTCCAGATGCCAAAGGGATAGAATAAGATGATGAGAGAGGAACAGAGTAGTAAAGTTGGGGGAGGGGGGGAGGAACACTGCGTTATGTGGTCTGGTTCGAACCATCTGGGTTGCCCTCTCCCTTCGTTGAGCCTCTGCAAAATCCCACACGCCGTCCAAAGCTTAGCTTGGATTCCGTTTCATTTTAATTGAAAATGTTCTCCAATCGCCATAGTCTGCAGTCAGCCCCGCTTGTCACTTTCCATAACTTTTATTGGCTCAATTCTTTGGCACTTAATTAGCAACTAATGAACACGTGACAAGTCTTAAATGGACTTGGTGGACTGTTACTGAGGTTTTCCCGTTATTTAACCTTCCGTATCTCTCTCTTTGGGGTTTGTTTAACCATTTCGACTATGAGCCTTAAGAGGGCATGTCGTCATCCCGCAAACAGTGCCTGCTCTGTGCCAGACAATCCCATGGAAGGTTGAGCCTCTCAGGCAGCAAGTATGGGGACATAAACCAGTACCTGACAGGCCGTGCATCAGAGGGCAGGATAAAGGGCTTTAGGACCTGAGGTGAGTGGTGACCAATTTGGGGAGCTGGGCAAAGGCTTCTCGGAGGAGCTGATGTTTGGGCCAAGTCTTGAGGATGAGCAGAAGAGTTTTCCAGATGGAGAAGAGGCGGGGCAAGGTCATCCTAGGTCATAGCTACTCCCAGTGTGGAGCCATAGGCATGTGATGTGTGGCATGGCGTGTTTGAAAATTCAGCTTTGCAATCCTCACATCGTTGCACATAACCGATGCCCAGGGTATATTTGTTGGTTTTATTTCATTTTGACTGCACAGGACACCCTCTGCCCTCTAAACTGTTGTTGGGACTACAATTCCCATAGTGCTTTGGGGGCCCGTGGGCTGAAAGGTTGGAAGTTCGGTTTACAGAATTCCCAGGGTCCCCCAGAGGGAAAACAAGAAGCCCCGAGGTTCTCTTAGCCTTCCAACTTGGCTTTTTTCACCCCCGTCCTTACTTTCCCGCTGCGTACACTTCAGCCGTGTCAAACAGGTTTACACCATGCTCATAGGCTACTGTCAGCACGTCCTCTGCTGTCTAGGGAGGTGAGAGAGAGAGATGAAGACCACCCACTGGCCCTGGGGTACCCCCCTCGCTGCACCCCGCCCATGGCACCTCGGCCCGGGCCTCCCGTTCTCCCCCACCCCCAGCCTCCAGCCTCAGGTCCGCCATTTTCCGTGTGTGTTGGCCAAACCCCTCTCCAAACCCACATCCCTTTTTTCTGGGTCCCTCACAGCCCCTCACCCCGCTTCCAGGTCCCATCACTTATACCTCATCCGAGATTTGAGAACCAAACGTGACCCAGGTGCCTGCAAGAGAGAAGTCAGGTGGGAGGCACGCCACAAATGCCCCCTCCCCCTTCGTTCCTCCTCTTTCTCGAACTCACCTAGGCCAAGACAGGATACCCGAAGACCAGACTTCCCCAGGTTCCTGCAGGGTACAGAAGCGGCAGGAAGGGGTGGAGCCTCCATTAAGGGCAGAGCTTATCCACCCCCAGCTCCTCTCCTTCCAGAATGGGAAGCCCTCAGGGTATCATCTGAGTCCAAAGGAACTAGACCCAGTGGGCGTATGGCATTGGGCAGTGCTACCATAGCTGCACAAATAAATGACTCTGGAGCCAACGTCCAGCGCCCCTGTCCCTCCTAGCACATGGAAGGTGTACTGCCTGGTTTGTGTTTCTTCTGCTGGGGTCTTGTGTTCCAGTCACCTCTGGCATGTGTGGAGTTCAGGGCTGGGAGGAATGTGACGGGCTGATGGCGATGAGCTGGTGAAATCACACCCTTGGATAGAGGGGGCTGTGCTACAGGGCAGATGCAGAGGTGGAAGGGGGCAAACCAGGTCAGGTTTAGGCACTCAGGCAGGCAAGGGTCCCCGGATGGGCTAGGCGGATGGGCCCCCAAAACACAGGTGGGACACCTGAGTGGGGACTCTCACAGGAAAGTCCAGTTCTATCTCTTCCCCCCTCCTCTGCTGTTGCCTTGTGGAGTCTGTCTCTGAACCAGAGAGCCCCCTCCTCCCAAGGCCTCCTCCGGTGGGTAGGTGGGTGGCTCAGCTTCTCAGAGCCGACACAGGAGGAGATCAGACAGTCAAGAGACAAAGTCAGGTCAGATCAGTGACCTCTGCTCACTCCCAGGCAGAAGCCCCTCCCTTCCCCCACCCCCCCATGCAACTTCTGAGAGCCCAGTGGTTCTCGAGAAAGTCAGTTATGATTCAGTCCACCTTCCCCACCAGGCCCCTGTCCCTCAGCATGGGGTTGAGAGGGGAGCTCCCTGCTTCCAAGAGCCCCCCTCCCCTCCCCACCAAGAAAAGCGGCAGGAGACCCGGCCCTTGGGGCAGGTGGGGGCAGTATCTGGGTCAAGCAGCTTGAGCAGGCCAGAGTGAGAAGCCGCTTCCTTCCCCCTCTTCCCAGGACACCCCCCCCCAAGGACACTCCATCCCAGAGGGGGCCCAGCCTGGAGATCCGTGCGTCCCTGGCCTTCCTGGGGGTAAGGAGAGAAGCGCAGGGGCATCCCTGGGCTCTGCCGGGATGGGTCAGCCTCGGTAAAGTTGATTTTCTCCTACTCGGGGGATCCACGAAGACAAAGAGAGGGACGGAGTAAGGGAGCGCCCCGGTGATGGGAAGAAGAGATGGAGCGATCTGGGACCTTCTTAGCGAAGATTGAGGGGTCCCGGTGGCATCCCAGGAAGCCTCAGGGGTCAGGAAAGGGGAGCAGATGGGGTGGGCTGCTCGGCCACCCCCATACCTGTATTTCATGCCAGTGCCTCGGCCGGTGCTCTCTCGGAGGGCCCCCGCAGGCGCTGGGGGTCGGGGGACCAGTGCGGCCCGGGCCTTAGGGCCCGACCCTCCTCCCCCCGGAGGATTCCCATGCCCCCCGCCGACCGGCCCGCCATTACCGCCCCCGGGGCCCGGCCGGGGTCCACACAGACGGTCCTCACTGCTCCGGCTGCGAAGGTTCTGCTCGGTACAAGCGATAGACACCTGCATGCCTGCTGGCCGGGGCGGGGGAGGGGGCTCCAAGGGGGCGGGAGGAGGAGGGAACAGGGAAGCCCGCGCGCAGACGGCGGGGGGTGTAGTGGCGCGAGCCCCGGGAGAGCGGGAAGGCGGAGGAGGCTGCGGCGGGAGCCGCCAGGCAGACTGGGGCCCGCGGGGGCGCGCTGCTGGAGGTCGCGGGGTTTGCGGCGGAAGGGGAGAGACGCGGGGGGCCGCACGCGTGCAGATATTCAGATACCGGGGCCCTGACGCGGGGAGGAGGAGGGGGAGATGGGAGAGGGTAAAGGTCAAGGGTGGTCCTCGGAAGATGGGGACCTAGGGAAGAGAGATGCCACCTCAGCCCAAACCGCAGCGGGACCGCTTGGCTCCCAGCAGCGTCCGCAGCGGGCCCAGATCATCAGCATGCAGGCACCGCCCCCTCATCTGCATAAGGCCGCCCGCCTCCCAGCCAAGCCCCCCGCTCATCTGCATAAGCCCCGCCTTCGGAGGCTCTGCCGCTTGAATATCCTGTGTGCTTAGCGAAGCCGGGAGAGTGGAATCCCAGCGGATGGCTATCGTAGCCCGTGGGACCCGCAGCAGGGTCGGCCTTCCTCCAGCGCAATGGGTTTCAGTCGGGGGCGATCTTACCCCTAGGGGTCGTATGGCAAGGTCTGGCGACAGTTTTGACTGTCACGCCTGGGGGTGGGGATGTGCTATCAGCAGCTGGTGAGTGGCGGCCAGGACAAAACACAGGACAGCCCCCAGCAAGGGCTTCTCCAGTCCAAAATGTCAATGCAGACGGTCCCTACCTCTGGTTTGACTTGCAATTTTTTAAATTTTATGACGGTACAAAAGCAATAGGCCTTCAGTAGAAATCATACCCTGAATTTTGATCGTTCTGGGCTCGCAATATACGGCTATATCTTTTGATGCCTCTCTTCTGATGCTGGGTAGTGGCAGGGAGCCCCAGCTCCCAGTCAGCCACTGGATCACCAGGGGACACCACTGATACACTTCCATCGTACTGGATTTTGCTTTCAGTATAGTATTCAATAAATCACATGAGGGGCGCCTGGGTGGCTCGGTCTGTCGAGAGACAATCCAAGTCTTGATTTCGGCTCGGGTCATGGTCCCAGGGTCGTGAGATTGAGCTCCATGCCAGGCTCCACGCTCAGCATAGCCTGCTTAAGATTCTCTCTCTCTCCCTCTGCCCCCTCCCCCCCCACTCTCTCTGTAAAATAAATAAATGAATAAATCACATGACCTATTCAACACTTTATTATAAAATAGGCTTTGCGTTAGATAATTTGGCCCAACCATAGACGAATGTAAGTGTTCTCAGCACATTTGAGGGAGGCTAGGCTAAGCTATGACGGTTAGTCGGTGTGTTAAATGCATGTTCGACTCACGATATTTTAAACTTACGACGGGTTTAGCTGGACATAACCCGGGTCTTAATTCGAGTAAGATCTGTCACTGTTTTTTTTTTTTAATTTATTTTTGAGAGAGAGAACGTGAGCAGGGGAGGGCCAGAGCGACAGGGAGACACAGAATCCGAAGACGGGCTCCCGGCTCTGAGCTAGCTGTCAGCACAGAGCCCTATGCGGGGCTCGAATCCATGAACCGTGAGATCATGACCTGAGCCGAAGCCGGATGCTCAACCGACTGAGCCACCCAGGCGCCCCAGATCTGTCACTATTGAGAAACCCATGGACAAAGCCTCTTTACAGGCTCAGGGGATGAAGGCTGATGCCCTCACGAGTGGGGCAGGACCCCAATTCACCACTCACACTGACACGCTGAGGCTGCCAAGTGTTACCAAAAGTTTATTCTGTGCTTTTGCAGCATCAGGTAGGAGATAAAAGTGGAGAGCGCCTGGTTTGGAGGAAGCCTCTGGGCTTCCTTCCCATGACGGCTCTAGGCCGTTGCCCTGGGAAGGCTGCTGGGGAACTTGAGGGCGTAGAGAGGCATGCAGTAGGAGCCCTCACGTGACACAGGTTAGGAGGGGCCCCAGGCAGACAGGGATTCTCCTGGGGGGTGAGGTAGGGTGCTTTCTTCAGCCAGCCCGGGCAGAGAAGAAAGGCAGAGAGCGCACGTAGGAGTCCAGTCGGGAGCGGAAGAGCTCACTTTGCACCGTCTGGCCCAGTGGGCACAGAGGATTTTTCACCACCAGCTCCACATACAGCTGTGGAGGGAAGGGGGTTAGAGCCAGGCTCTGGCCACTTCTCCTTTTCAACCCCAAACCTAGTGTGACCTCCGGGGTGTGTGAATGCACAAGGATTCAGGGCTGGAAGTCAAGTCCTCCCTGAGGACAAAGTGGTGGTGTTTAAGGACCTACAGAGTCCCCGGGAAACTCTTGGCTTCCAGAAAGCTGCGATACAGTAAGATTAGGGCAGGGAAGTGAAGGAGTCTTGAGGCTCTACGTGGCTGTGGTTGTTGAGGAGCTTTAGGGGAAGGAAGGGTCCCAGGGGCTGGCACTGACCGCACTGTAGATGTGATGCAGCACATCTCGGATGGGTCCGACGCCCAGGTCTGTATTCATGACAACCTTGATCCCAGTGGGCGTCTCGTAATAATGGAGTTTGTAACGGCTAGTTTGGAAGGCCAGGAAGCCATCCTTCCTGCAGAGATGAGGAGGATGGTAAGGAATGGGAGCATAATCTCTCCCAAAGAGATACTTCTGATCTCCCCTAAGTCGACTCCCTTAAACACCTCATTTGTAGGAGACTGATTTAGTAAAGCCACCTCCCATCTTCACCCCTCAATTTGGCCCCTGCACCCAACCTCAGTACCTTCAGATTTTCCCCAGCCCCGCTCTAGCCAGCCCCAGCACTCTCGCTCCAGACAGCCCTCTCCCTCTCTCTCTGTCTCCTTCCCCTCTCTTAGGGTCCAATGTCTCTTCCACTCCGCAAAGTCTCCCGCACCCCCAAATTCCCAAGACTTCCCTCCTTCCCTCAACATCCCTTTTGACTCAGCGTACATGTCTAGCGGGGACATCTTGCTGACAAAGGAGCGGATAGAGAAGAGCATGCCATACATCAGCTTGTACTCCTAGGGGAGAGGGACAGAGTTAGCTCTCGGTTGACGGCATAGGGGTGGGAAGCAGCTGGAGTTTGGAGAAGCATGGGTGAGCTGGGACTCTGTGCGTTTGGAGATGCGAGGTCACCCGGATTGCGCGGGGCCCTCACGTCACCTCCTCTTTGGGGATCCCCGCTTGCTTCTTGCGGTGCCACTCGCTGTAGTGCAGACACACTCCATTCCGGTCAAACAGGTACAGGTTGTGAACAGTCATCTGCAGGGCAGAGAACGTAAGCCTCGCTCCGAGACCGCCCGCAGCCCGGGCGCTCCAGTTTTCGGCCCCGGACTCCCCCAACCAGGCGGGAACCCCTCCCCCGGACTCACCGGAACTGCTCCCAGGGCCCGTCACCAGACACTTCCGGTTTCTGCGGAGCCCCGCCCCGCCCGCTCCTCAAACTGCAGTTGGCGGGGCACTAACTCCGCCCCATACCTCCCCCAGCCAATCCGTGCCGCGGGCGCCGCGCACGCGCATCTTGGGCTCCCGGCCTCCAGAAGCCGAGCGAGCTGCGGCGAGGGAGAGCGCTGGGCTGGTGACGTCATCAAGCCGTGCGAGGCGGGGCTGCGGACGGTGGGCGGGAGGCTGCCAACGGTTTTGAGTGTAGGGAGCGCCGTGAGGGTGTGTTGGAGGCGTCCTTGGGCTCCGGGACCGGGGCTCAGGGCAGGGGGACAATCCCTTGTCCACACCTTGGCAAACTGAGGGCGGCTGAGGTCCGGCGGTGTGGCGAGGAGTCGCAAGGGGTGGTCGGCCTAGAGGATCGCGGGCTAGGCTCGAGGGCGGTGTACTTTTTAGAGGTCTGAGGGGGTGACGAGTGTTAATGAAGTTTGTCTCGGGACAGTGAGGACGGAGGGATTCTAGGGGACCTTGCTATGGCTTTCTCGCCAGGAGGGGTCGGAGGGGATGTACAAGCGGGTTGGCCGTGGATGGAAAAAGTGCATGGCGGAGGGGTGTGAGCAGGTGGGGAGCGTGAGGTTCCTGCCTCTCTGAGACGGGCCAGGGGAGGGGCACATAAGGAGGCTGCAGGGATATTAGGCCCCTACTGGGTTTAGGTGCATTTCGGTTTGCACGTTCTGAGTTCAGTTGGCCAGTGATGGCCTGTGCCAGAAGTTGATCTGCAGCTTTCAGCCTTCCCGGGAACTGCAGGGGTGCTGTCGCCCCTCCGTCTTCTCTGCACACCCCCTCCTTGCTGCACCCTCCTTTCCCACCGTTCCCAGGTGCTGTGGAAGGAAATGCTCTTGCCCTCTCCCATGGCCTCTGGAACCTGTAACCAGAAAGCCTCCCTACCGCCACTCACCAAGGATCCTTGGCTTGGAGTCTTCCTCCTTTCTCCCACATCTTCTCCTTCCGTGCACTTTCCCCCCTGCGCTGCCCCCCAGCAGGACCAGGAAGTCCCAGCTCTGCTGTCCTCAGTTGTCTCCTCCTCGTACCCATGGCGACATCAGCTACGGTCCCCAGTTCACCCCTCCGGGCTGAGGATCTCCTGAGTGACTCCTCAGAAGCCCCTGGGCTGAACCAGGTGTCCTCTGAGGTGACCTCCCAGCTCTATGCCTCTTTGCACCTCAGTCGCCAGGCCGAGGCCACAGCCCGAGCCCAGCTGTACCTGCCCCCGTCCTCCCCACCCCCTCATGAGATGTTAGATGGCTTGGCCCAAGAGCTGAGTCGCAGCTTGTCAGCTGGATTGGAGAACAACTTGAAGAAAAAGGTGAGCGAGGTGTGGCTTGGAGACCTCTAGGGTCTTGGAATTGGAGGTGGTTAAAAAAAAAAAAAAAGCTTTGCTGAGATTTGAACTCCCTACTGTTGGATTTCAAATTCCTTTAAACTACAGAGTCCTTCACGCTTGTTCCTGGGAGCAAATGCTGATGAGGCAGAAAGTGGCCCAGGGACACCATAGTTTGGGAAGTTGTGAAACGTCACTAACTTAACTGTTTTTTGGTCAGAGGCACCCTGTGCTGTGCTTTGATTGGCAGCTGGGCCCTAAGAGCGAGGATAAGGACAGCAAAATAGGCTGAGCTCCTCCCAGCTCAAAGCTGTTTTGATTGTATGGTTTAAAATTTGGCATCTAAGTTATTAAAACACAGCCTAATCAATGACACATGTTGCAGAGAGGATCATTATGAGCTTTGGCTAGAAATAAGCGTCGCAAACAATTTGCAGACCGGTTGGGTCTCCCAGAGTTGCAGAAACTGGTAGCCACGGACCATACAGTCTTCAGAGAAGATATTTGCTCTCTACTTGGCAAGGATCCTCGCCAGTCTGGTCTCAATGTGCCCAGTCCATTCATTTCCACTACTCGGCTGGCTTCTGTAGACATTTGAATTGAGTCAGCTCTGCTTTTCTTGGCTTTTCCAGGTGCCAGAGTAAAAATTCTTGGGTGTTCGGCAGGAGGAAGAACATAAGTTATTCAGCACGTATCTGGTTTTCATGTTGCCTTTTTTCCTAGGATGGTTCGAAGCATATCTTTGAGATGGAAAGTGTCCGGGGTCAACTCCAGAGCTTGCTCCAGACCTCACGCGATACGGCCTATCGTGAGTAAACCCCTGAGCGTAAAGAGGAGCCCAAAGGCGAGGGGTGGGAGAAGGTGGAGGAAGGGAGACTTGAGATGCCGGGAGGAGAGGCTTCAGGTCTTTGGGAGGGGGGCCGGAGGAGTGGGTGAAGTAGAAAGGAGGGCCCTCTCCTCTCCTGCTTCAAGTGGTCCCTGTTCCTAAGTCTTACCTGACCCTGGCTGTGGGGTCCCTCCGGCTGCCCGCAGGGGACCCCCTCACTCCAGGGGCTGGCTCAGAGAGACGCGAAGACGACTCCTTTGACAGTGACAGCACAGCCACCTTGCTGAAGTGAGTTCCCCTCGAGGGTTCTCCTCGCTCCCTTGCTTGGAAAGCCAACTGCTCCGTTCCTGCGTTCTCTCTTTCCTGCCTTTGTACCTCTTAAGGACCTACGATGCCTGTCCCTTACCTTTCAGTTTTCGTCCTTTCTCTCGTCTTCTAAACCCTTTGCTTCAGGAATGTGGGCATCTCCTGCCTAGAGCCTGGCTGCCCACCCACCTCGAGTCCTTTTCCCCCCAGAAGAGGTGGCTTGTTTCTGCTAAGACTGTTGCTGCGGGGAGCACTAGAGAGTGACCCACAGAACCTAAGTGCCGTTGGTTGGTGGCCCGGTCACCATCTAGCTCCGTGACTCTGGGCAAGTCCCTTGCCCTTTCTGAGTTTCCGTCTCCTCGTTTAGAAAATGTTACAATTGCATGAGGGGAGCTCGAAAGCTTGCCCAGCCCTGACTTTCCCTACCCGGTCTGCTTAGCACCCGGCCCCTGCAGGACTTCTCTCCGTCCAGCTCAGCCCCGGCCCTGGAGGAGCTGTTTCCCCGCTACACCAGCCTTCGGCCAGGCCCCCCGGCCAATCCCCCCGATTTCCAGGGCCTGAGGGATGCGCTGGATTCGGAGCATACCCGCCGCAAGGTGAGTCACCCAGGCTTCTTTTATTTTATTTTTTTTTAATTTTTTTTATTTATTTCTAAGAGAGAGAGAGAGAGAGAGAGAGAGAGACAGCGCGAGCAGGGGAGGGTCAGAGAGAGAGGGAGATCCAGAGTCTGAAGCAGGCTCCAGGCTCCGAGCTGGCAGTCAGCACAGAGCCCGACGTGGGGCCCGAACGCACGAACCGCGAGATCATGACCTAAGCGAAAGTCAGACGCTTAACTGACTAAGCCACCCAGGCGCCCCCACCCAGGCTTCTTTTAAAAATCCGCAACGATCAGATAGGCTGGGTGCTGACCGGGGCTGAGGGTGAAGGGCCCGCCAGCCGGGACCCTGCTCAGATGGCCCTTCAGGGAGGTCTTCCTTGACCGTCTGACCTAACATGGCGCATGTTAGGTCCTCCTCCCGGCCTCCATTCGGGTCGCTGTGTTGCTTCCTTCACAGAGGTTATCACAGCCTCGTATATCTCGTTTCCCCCCTCTAAAATCCAAGCTCCCCGAGGGCCGTGCCCTGTCTTGTTCCGCCCCTAAGGTCTAGAATGTGCCCGACACAAAGAAACGTCCCGTAAGTGGGGGGTGAATGAACGAGGCTTGCGGGCTTGTGCGAAGGCTTGACAGCCATTGGTGACGTGGCCAGCTTCCTGTGCGCACGTCGCGCAGCCTACGTGAAGGGGGCAGAGAGGCGCTGGGCAGAGGCAGCGTCAGGGTCACTGGCGGTGGTGTCTCTTCCTCGATCTTAAACCACCTGGGCACGAGTGAAGGGCTTTCTGCTCTCTCTCTGCTGTGTTTCATCCCTGTGCCCGATGAGCTTCCTGAAGGGGGTTACTTCCCACTCTTTGCCGTGGGGGCTGTTGCGCTCTTGCCACAAGGTTCACGGACATTCTTCTCGGGAGATCCAGGAAAGGGGAGAGCCCGGCAGCTAAGCCCCGGTCTCCCGAGATGGTAGAGGAAGGCGTTGGGGGTCTTGGGCCTCCCAAAGTCCCTGCCCCAGGGTTCCTGATTCTTCTCCAAGCCTACTCTGTTCGTGGGACCCAGGCTCCCTGTCTCCAGCCCGTCTTCCCCGAGAGGAGCTGGGAAGTCCAATGCTTTGGTCAGATTAGGGATGGTCACCCCCCCCCACTCGTCACCCTTCTCCCCAGCATTGCGAGCGCCACATCCAGAGCCTCCAGACCCGAGTGCTGGAGCTTCAGCAACAGTTAGCTGTGGCCGTGACCGCCGACCGCAAGAAGGATGTCATGATCGAGCAGTTGGACAAGGTGTCAGAGGGCCAGAATGTGGGCGGTCTCTCCATGGCGGCGGGGGGTGGGGGGGTGGGGGGAATAGCCGGCGTTTAGTGCTCATGCTGGGAGCCAGGCTGGGGTGGGTTTCCTGACTCCGGGAAGAGGTGGCTGTTGGACTTCCCCCCACCTTGAGGGGAGAAAGAAGACAAAACACTGATTTTGAAATGCCCTCCGGCTCTCCCCTCCTGAGACCCTGGCCCGCGTGGTGGAGGGCTGGAACCGGCATGAGGCCGAGCGCGCAGAGGTGCTTCGCGGGCTCCAGGAGGAACGCCAGGCAGCCGAACTCACCAGAAGCAAGCAGCAAGAGGTGGGCCAGCTGGGTTAGACGGCACTAGGCCCGCGGTCACAGATTGGCGGGTAGAAGGGGGGGAAGGGGGTCGAAATCGCTCTGATGCAGGGTTCCCAGCCGACGGAGCCGGGGTTCCAGAAGCCGGCCTGTTCTCCTTTCAGCGTTTTTACCATCAGACTTGCCTCGCCCATGTCTTCCAGGCTTTCCCACACCCTGGGGCCTTCTCTTTGGCCCCCACGTTGTTTAGTTAGGTATTTTTTCTTAAAAACAGTTTTTTAAAGCTTTTCTTTTTTTTGAGAGACAGAGTACAAGTGGGGGGAGGGGCAGAGAGAGGGGAAGACAGAATCCGAAGCAGATTCCAGGCCCTTAGCTGTCAGCACAGAGCCTGACGCCGGGCCTGAACCCACGAACCATGAGCCTGAGTCAGACACCCAACTGAGCCACCCAGGCGCCCCAGGCCTTACAGTATTTCTCATTGATGCTTTGTGAAGTACGAGTCCCTCCGTTCACCTGTCTTGTGTCCCTCGGTCCCTGAAAGACAGTAACCCACCTGGAGCAGAGCCTTTCTGAGGCCATGGAGGCCCTGAGTCGTGAGCAGGAAGGCGCCCGACTGCAGCAACGGGAAAGAGAGACGCTGGTGAGGATGCCGGGCTGGGGTGACCTTGGTGGAGGCTGCTAATAACTTCTCGAAGGCTTCTTGCCTTTGGCGGGTTGTGGGAGCTGCACCGGGGAGTGTTTCCCAAAGTGTGTTCCTTAGAACGCTTGTTCCGCCAACGGGGATCCGCCACCAGGTTGGCTTGAGAGACTTGGCAAATCATGTCCTCATTAGAATCGCCTGGGGGATTACTCTACACGGTGGATTCCTGGGACCCATTGCCAGGGGTTTTGATCCAGTAGGTATGTGGTGGGGCTGGGAGCCTAACCGTCTTCAGCACTTCCCTAGGTGATTTTGGTCAGCCAGGTTTGGGAGCCGTGGCGTCGGGCATGGCGAAGCAGGGCGTGGGACGGGACTTGTCAGGTTTGTCACTGCTGCAGTGACGAGATGATTACCCACGCGAATGAGTAGCCAGGCTGGGAACTCACCGGATGCATGAGGCGTGCTTGCTACGTGCAGGCTGGTACTTCGCATCTTTTAGGGCAGAGAGAGAGGGAGACACAGAATCCCAAGCAGGCTCCGGGCTCTGAGCTGTCAGCACAGAGCCCAGTGCCGGGCTCAAACCCACGAACCGTGGGATCATGACCTGAGTTGAAGTCAGACGCTCAACCGACTGAGCCCCCCGGGCGCCCCTGGTACCTCTCCCCTTAACAGTCCCGGTGAGGGGCGCTGGCTGGCCAGGACGTGACTTTGCGTGCTGGATTTTCTGGCCTCCATGGAACTTGCCTTAACGATGACCGTGTCGGCTGTTGTGGACCCAGTGCTCACTATGAGCCGGACACGGGGCTAATGAGTTACTCCTGTGCGCTTTGCACTTTGATCCTCACACCAGACCCTCGCGTTAGGGCCTCTCAGGCTGAGCCGCGTGCCTCAGAGCGCATAGTAAGCGACAGACTTGAACCCAGATGCACCTAATTCCGGAACAGAAGCTCTTATTTACCATATCCGAGCCCGTGGGCCTGCCACCTGCTGTGTCTTTCGCAGCCGAGATTCTCAGGGCGCTGCTCCCCAGGGTGGGGCCGAGGGCGCAGTCTGGCGGCGGGCGGGCTTGCTAAGGCTCGCGCCGTCCCCGGGGGCCGCAGGAGGAGGAGAGGCAGGCCCTGACCCTGAGCTTGGAGCTGGAACGGCAGCGGGGCCGGGCGCTGCAGGAGGAACGGGACGAGGCCCGCGCCGCGCAGCTCGCCGAGCGCCGGCAGCTGGAGACCCTGAAGGCCGCCCTGGAGGAGGCGCGGCAGGCGCGGGCCGAGCACGAGCGCCAGCTGGAGGCGCGCCACCGGGCGCTGCGGGACGAGGCGCAGGCCCGCCTGGAGGAGGCGGAGGTGAGCGGAGCGCGGAGCGAGACGCGATGTGGGCAGTGGGGCTGGGGGGGTGGGGGGGGGCGGAGAGCTGGGGGCGGGCGGGGCTGGGGGTGGCCCCCACGTGGAAGGTCGAGAGCCAGAGCGCACCGATGAGGAGATAGTGGAACGTGCAGAGGGAGAGAAGCAGCTTGGAGTTTAGGGGGTGGGAGGCTGACCCTGGGGGCGGGTTTAGGGGGTGGGAGGCCGATGCAGGATGGGGGGAGTCGGGGTGGGAGGCTGACACGGGG